AAAATGAATAGAATCCACCGAGCAGACCAGTTAAAGTATCAATCGTCTGCAATTTAAGCATATATTTTATATCGATCAGAATACAATGCATATAAATTTATGCACATTATAAATGCTACTTTTATATAAATACCTTAGAAGCGACGTCTTTATCAAATGGAAAACTTTCATAACAGTCCTTGACATCGGCATAACTAAAATTGAGTGCTTGTTTAGTAATAAATTCATTATGAATTCTTGCGCATCCGTCAGAAATAGGAGCCCGTCGTTGAATTACATAAGAATGAACATTTATGGCAGAGGATAATAAGAATGCGAAAACAATTATGCAAAATTTCATATTGATACAGTAATTGCGATAACAGTGCATTAAAAAAAAAAGTCGTTAGTCGCGTTCTGAGGTTTATTTATGTCTGATTTTGCGTAATTCTAAAAATAGCCCATCGGAGGGCGGAACCTTTTCACCTTTGAATGGGTAAATTTTAAATGTTTTATTTTTTATAGATTTGTTAAACAAACAAACATCATTACTAAGAATATACAGTAATACAGAATGAAGTAATGAATGTAATGACTATAGTTAAGAAGATGTATTAGAAATTGATCTTTGATCTGAATTGAATACTACTTTGCTTTTTTTTTTCTTGAAATTTAATTTATTAAATTTTATGTTATTTTCTTGATAAGTGCCAGTTCAAACTCGATTAAAATTTTTTATTCTAATTCTACAGGTTTATAAAATAAAATAAAAAGTTTTATAAAACTTTGATCGGGTAGTCATTGAGAAACCTTTGATCAAAGGTTTAAAAAAATATATTGCTATTGTATAACCGATAATTTTGTCTTAGAATCTCACTTCCATATTTGTATCATCATTAGGCCGAAGTTTAGGGTTGCAGTTAGAGCTAGTGGGTTATGTAGATCATATACTGATACGTATATTAAATAACTCCGCTTTAACCGATCCATATTTGTATCGCCATAGCGATAGCTATGTTAACCTTTAGTAATATTAGGCATTGTATTATGTATATATTTTAGTGGGGTGTATATAAATAGTGTCGGCTAAAGCGGAGCGAGGTTTGGGGTTACCTTTTTGACATAGTTAGGGTGAGTGATTATATAGATATCAAGAATGTGATTTATGCACTATGTTGATCATATATTTAATTATCTCCGCTTTGACGATCCCTATAAATAGCTGTTCTGAAAATCACGGTGTAACGTAACACGATCAGCAAATTTCGAAACAAACGTTCGTTTTGTCAAAAATCAAAAAAATCTGCATATAAAAAACCACCTTTAGTGCTATAACAAAAGGTTTTCCTTGAACGGTTTTACTATATAATTACCAACTACAATGGACTTTAAAATTTTTTGTTAATTAAAACTGCGCCACAAACATGTGCGTGGATTTGTTATTAATTTAGATTTATTTATTATGATCGGATTATCATTAGTAAGGGACATTTAATAACGTTTTTATAAGGAACATTTATGCAAAGAGTATCGGATCTTTATTAGAATAAGTATGACTACGAATATAATTGTACAAATAACACTGGGAGGTAACTCTTCCTGCAGATCAATTTTACCAAAACCGGAGCAAAAGAGAAAAAGCCCTGAACGAAGAAAACACTAACTAAACGTACCCCGGGCCCCTAAGTAAACTTGTCCAGCGCAGCTGGAAACATAAGAAAACAATAAGCTTCCAAAGAAATTCCTACCAGAGCAACAACTACTGGACGAAGGACAGATAAACAACACTTCCCACAACTCTCCACCCGCAAGTGACAAAGGTCCTATGGACCTGTCAACCCCGCCTCAGGAAACATCCAGGACAACTCACAAACTATTGGCAGCAATACAGATAACAGCCAAATGCAAACTTCTGCACAAAATACCCCCAATACCACCAGACAACAAATGGTTTCTTTACATACCACTTCTTTTATAAGATAACTAGCCCAAAGGCCACAACAACAATTGCAAGCACACAACAAAAAGATTCAATGACAGAATATACCAAGGAATTCATAAATATTACTATTAAAGACTGGACTAAACTCACCTTTACTATTTCTTTCATTGTTCCTGACTTTGCCAACAGATACATATTCACTACTGACCTCACTAGGTCAGAACGTATTCCAAACTTGATTAAATTCCCTGCACAATGAATATGCAAGCACAATAAGGCTAACCAATCAATCCTATTTGATCTTACAAACCCAAACTGTAATTCTGTAAATATTAATACCAAGTTACCTAGAAGTATTCATAGCTAGTATTCCTATGAACTGAACTGAACATGTGGCCA